AGAGATAATAAAGGGCAAGATCAACTTCAACCTCTCTACTAAAACTTTAGCAATGATCTTATAAAAACTAGTTAACAAGCTTATGAGTCTAATATCAACGAGACAATCGATTGACCCTTTCTTAGGAATCAAAGTAAAAGAGGTACAGCTAACCCTTTTAAAAATTTGACCCCTAATCATAAAGCTTTTGACCAATTGAAGCACCTCACCTTTAACCATCGGCCAAAACTTATGGAAAAATGCCAAAGGGAAACTGTCAGGTCCTGGTGTTTTCTCACCAGGTAAAGCAAATACAACTTTCTTTAACTCATCACAAGTTATCTCTTTGTCAAGTTCAGTTTGCAGATTTAAAGGAAGCCTTTTAAAATAAATTCTATCCAGCAATGGAGTGAAGTGTACCCCTTTAGTGAATGCTTTTTTAAAATGGCTGATCACTGCATTCTCAATAGCACTATCACTCTCTTGGTCTACATCAGGAATTGATAACCCAAAAACATCATTATATCTCTTCCAAGCGCTAGCAATAGCATGAAGGTACTTGGTACTTAAATCCCTCTCTTTAAGCCACTTAGTTCTGGACCTTTGCCTCCAATATATTTCCTCTGCCTTACAAAGCTTATCGAACTCCACTTTTTTCACGTTTCGTTGTACAATGTCTTGTTCAGTAATAGCCCCGGAGCTCTGAACATTCATCTCCAAAGCTTCCAAATCAAGCAAAACACTATATATTTTTGCCCTCACATCAAATTTATTTTCTTGGTTCCATATAACCAACTTCCTTTTAATATTTAACATTTTACCATGCAATTAAAAATCCATACCACCCTCTACCACAATATTAACCCAAACACTATTGATAAGATCCACTACCTGCGGTTCCTGTAACCAACTTAAATCAAGCCTAAAAGGTTTAGGCCCTCCTTTCAAAATACATGTGTTTAGCATAATAGGGCAATGGTTTGAAGATAATCTTGATAAAGCCCTATCTGTAGACCAAGGGTACTTCTCGAGCCACTCCATCGAAAGCAAAAATCTGTCTATTTTTGACATAGCCAGGTATGTCAGGTTATTGTTGGACCAGGTGAACCTGGCCCCACTAATAGGAGGATCCATAAGAGAATGATTTTCAATGAACCGATTAAAACACTGCATCAAGGAATTGATAGGATTACCCGACAGACTTTCATTAGGCCACCGTATCAAGTTCAAGTCACCACCAATCACAATTGGAAATTCAAAAGAATGAATAACAGAAGAAAGCTCCAAAAGAAAACCTTCTTTTAAAGTAAAAGAAGAAGGTCCATAAACGTGTATGATACCCCACCTTAATCCTACCTTAGGCCCAATAAAACCCAAAAGCAAAAAGGACTCATGTTTACTTATGAAAAAATTCTGGATAACTGTGGGGTCCCATAAGACACACAAGCCACCAGAAGCTCCACAAGCATCTATACCATCAAATGCAACTACATTGGAACCCCAAACCTCTCTAGCCCCTACAACATCAGGACTAGGGAGCTTTGTCTCCTAGAGAAACAAAACCACAAGTTTGAACTTAGCAACTAGAAACCGAACACCCCTTTTCCTAAATTGACTACCCAAAGCCCTTACATTCCACGATATAAAATTCATTAAAAGGAAGGGGGGTAAGAAGAGGAACCTGGCCCTTCAGGATCATGATCATATTGAGGGGTGTCGTCCACTAGAAATTATTTGGCAACATCATCATCATAAGAGGAGGAAATAGACTGCGAGTCCACATTTACGATAGCTTGTTGACGAAAAACGATCGCTCCCCGGGGCCTTTTTTGATGACGCCTTTCGCTTGCAATCTAGCCGAAGATCGAGCATCCCATAAACCTTTCATCTCCATATTCTTGTTTTTACCTATGTCTGCCTTCTTCATCGACGTCACAACAAGTTCCTGAAAAGCATCAGAACTACTTTCGGTCGCTGCATTCCTAGCCTTCCATGTTGCCCTGATTTCTTCCATTACTACCACGAGGGACACTCTATCCATGCCCATGTCAAAAACCATATTTTCCACCTTCTGTACTTCCTCCAGTTCTTGTTGCACTTCACTCGAATGACTTCAGGGGGGCATCTTTCAACAACCTCTGTTACTCAGCCGGCACCATATCCAAAAGAATGACATCTGGCACATCCGAAAGCACTAAGGACTCAAGATCTTCACCATTAACAGTGCTAGGGTCAAATTCCAGCATATGAGGATCGTTACCTGCAACAGGTTCCTCTTCCACCATCACGATGGCTAGAGGATCCACCTGAAGAGGATCAAAACGAGCTCTATTCTTCTTACCCTTGCCTTTCGCAACAACCTGGCGGAACAGCAAAGGAGGCATTTTCTGATTTAG